AGACAAAGCCACTCCACCCACCATCCGCATTGAGAGATGTATCAACTCCATCTCGAAGTGGCTACCACCATACCAGTACACAGTGTCCAACTCACTACAACTTATCGACTGCCTAAGGGACATATGCCTTGAGGCGCCTGATTTTATCAGTCTGTAATTTTCAGTCCTTATATCCTTTGGTAAAAATATAGCCTTGTTTTTCCTTCCTTGGGGACTTCTTGATGGCACACATTCCTGAGCCTTCCAAACATCTTTAAAATTTTGGGGTTAGCTGAGCTCCTGTGTCATATCTCTTTCTTCTCATTTGATAGACAACCTCACCTGCAATACAAAGGGGTATCGACGGGTAGCCTGATTTCCAGCACACTGTTAAATTGGTCATTCGTGAATTGGAAGCCGCTCTTCTTCCACACTTTATTGAATACATCGCCTTGTATGCAGGATACGTGGATGACATACTAATCATCTAGCACCACCAACCTCCACCTTATCAAGTGGTACAACTACAACCCTTATGACCTCACTCTCAATTTGGAACAATGCAGTGGTACAGGGATGCATTTCTTGGATGTAGATATACAACCTGTTCAGTGGCACTTCATAACCAGCATATATAGAAAACTTATCTACCATCCATTCTTCATTCTGGCTCCTTCACACAACCCTTTCCATTACAAACTGGCGGCATACAACACCTTGATCCAAAGGGCCTATACCCACTACTCCAATATTCATGATAGGGAGAAAGAATACCATTACATCCTAAAGCAGGCATTGCTGCATGAATACGCACAGAAATCCATTAATTAACAGTTTCATTTCCCAGTATGAAGCCAACCACATGTTCATTCACATTACATCCAAAGCACCCAACACAGCAGCTGACTTTAGAGCGATCACATTTAACAGCATCTTGGCTATCGTCTACAGGAAAATTGCCAACTCTTCCCGCTTTTGGCATTTAAGTGGTGCCACATAATATTTTTGCTTCTCCATAATGCCAAGGACTCCAAAATTGGCACCACCTCCCAGGTACGTGGTTCCTCTACACAATCGCAAATGTGATATCCCCTGGCATACATTGGGACTACGTGTAGACATATACTAACATGCCTTAAAGAACACCAGGAGGACATCAAAAAAGGCAGTTTTACAACTGCCCTTGCCTCTTATGCATCTGGAACCACACCTGGTTCTGGACGCATAAGAGGTGAGGGCAGTTGTAAAACTTGTTCCATCTTTCCAGGATCCTTCATTCTAAAAAGATCCTCCTACAATATTTGGAGAAATATGAGATATACAAGACTTCCATCAAAAAATGCACCATCAACTACAAAAAGGCGGAGTCATTCCCAACAGCCTGGAAATTCTTTGTTTACCAATATCTAACTGATGAGGTTCCGTCTGAAACAAATCCTACGACATCTTATTCATCCGCCAATAGACAGCCGCCACACCTTTTAAGCGACACATGCGATTCAAATTGAAGAATTCCATCACAGAATTTACATTTTATACCTGAAGATGTCTACTGAAAAATAGATGAAAACATTCATAGATGAAAATGTTTGTGATACAATTTTTTTGCTTGAGTTTGGGGTAATGTTGGGAGTCTGTTTTCATATAAATCCAGTATTGTGTTGTCATCGTTCTTGTATGTAATAGTACACCAAATACCAAAATATCTAGCAAGAATATAATTTACTAATCAAACAAATATTTTCAACCATTTTTAAATAGTCATCTTCAGACTTTGAATATATTTAACTACGGAATACAAAATCAAACATGAAATTTTAAAAGAATAATATTTCATTGAATGAAGCTGTAAGTATCACTGCAGATGCTTAAGTATCTACAAAAATGTTTAGGGTATTTCATAAAAGGACTTCCATGCATGTGAAATGTTTCAGTATCTTTATAAGTATCTGTTGTACATCTTGAAAATTGAATTTCCTACTGCAATGTCACTCTACAAGGTTTCTATAAAAAACATTGCCATAAGTTATAAAAATACCGAAATATTTCACATGCATGGAAGTCCGTTTTTGAAATACCCAAAAAAATTTTTTGCAAATAATTGTCAGCAGTGATGCTTACTACATCACCTAATGAAATATTTATTATTCCTATTTTTGAAATTTTGTTTGATTTTGTATTCCATGGACGAATATATTGGAACCCAAAGATGGCCATTTAAAAATGGTTGAAAACATTTAATTTGTAAACTACATTCTTAATGGATATTTTGGTACTTGGTGTGTTTTTGACTTATTTGCATCCAGTTTTATGAGTTTTATGCTTTTTATGTGTTTGTAAGAATAATTTAAATATACATAAAATATTCCATATAGAGCATGCCAGAATATGCATTGTTATATGTTTAGTTTAAAAGAAGCAAGTAATGAGTTTTAACAAATACAAATTCATTTTCAATTATTTGAGATGTGACTTCTTGAAAGAAAATACAATTAAAATTAAAATTATCTGGCATTAAATTTATCATTTGGCTTCTTTATGACCATATTCACAACCCAAATCAAGAGTTAGAAGTTAACCAATAAACATTCATGCACTAAAAGTAAAGTGAACAGTTATTGGTTAACTGTGGATTGACTCAATTCATTTTATTACAACATTAAATTAACATTTTACATAGGAAATTTTGGTTTACGTGATTAATCGAGACCACTTTAACAAAATGTCAAAAACGAAAAAATAAATAAAAGTATTGATTTTATTAACTATAAGTTTGGCTTCCTGAAAACAAGCACCACATAATTTGCATATAGTGAAGTCCTAGATAAATACTTTTGAGTTGGAAAACAAGGCCAGAATTTATTGTTGATTTAAAAGTCAAAATTTCATGAAGAGCAATTTTAAGTGTGACAAAAAACATTAATTTAATTGGTTCATTAAATACACTAAGCTAAAAAATATTGTGTATTTTTCTGCTAAAGAAAAGTACACATTAAACATTTATTTGTATATAAATCCAGTAAAATACTATCTTTAAATTATATTTGCTTTATTTGAGAAACAACAACAGCCTAACTTAGCCTGAAATAAATGTTTTAAAATTGGTATGATATGTCTTTTGAGCAGCTTTTTAACAGATTATTCCATTTGTCTTGTCTTAAATTTAAATTTTAGTATGCAAATTTGACAAGAGAGATGTGTTTTAAGTATATCTCAGTCTATGGAACACTATTAATGATCTGTTCCTAAAACATCCCTTAGAACATGGAGAAAGTGATGCACAAATGTATTATGTAACAGAAACAAAGAATACTAAGATAAAGAACAATAAAGTAGTTGTAAAAACAAGAAATACATATTTACAAAGTTATCAGAAATGATATTAACAAAGTAACAAGTTTAATGGGAGGAAATGTTAAAGCCAAACGACTGCCAGATTATATCAAACTATATTACTACTGCCATTAATAATTGAATGCTGAGTAATTTGGCACTAGAGGTAACGTAATTCAGCAATCATTTGGTTTTAATATGTTACAACTGGGTTTTACATGTTGATATTTGGAAGAAAATGTCGGAGAGAATGGTCAAAAGCAATCAAAATTTATCAAAGAACCTTAAAAGAATGTATAACTAATGTGTAAAGGATGTCAAGATCCTTTTAAACTTGTGAAAACTGTTCAATCACATTAAGTGTAAAATGCAAAGATTTAAAGTGACAGAAATCAATGTCAGTCAAAAGTAATTTTTGTAAAATTATTAATGTAGGTTTATATAAGCAAACATTTTCTTTCTTTTTATTTTTTCCTTATAACAGTCAATTAAAGTAAATTAATTTTTTAAAATTAGTTTCAGGAATGGCAATATATTTAGAATGAATTAGATGTCTCATACTCAAACATAAAAACTGCTATTGTATTGGAAATGGCTTTCTTTAGATTATTCCTTCAAAATCTCCGTTGTAAATTACTAATAATCTTCTATTTTTACTTAAAATAATTGCAAAAACAAAACTACATTAGTACTTTTCAGCTCAAGCATTCGGTTTCCGACATTCCAAACCCATTTTGGAATTCCCAAAGATGAGCTCAAAACATTAATCTAATGTTTATGAGTTTTACATTTGTCGTCAAAAGTTTCAAAGTAATTTTGGAATGCTGGAAATAGAATACAAGCTTAAGGTGAGCATCTTCAAGAGTTCTGAAGAGATTCCGAAATATCCAAAGACGAGTACAAGAGCTTGGAAACTCTTCTGTATAATTCTGATTATTCCTAATGTTTTCAATGCTTGTATCCTTTCCTGGCATTCTGCAATTGTTTAAGACCTTCCAAAGATGAACAAATAAAAAATTTTGAGTGTTAAACTATTGTTTATGAGTTTATCTTTCAAGTTTTAAAATGAATTTGGAATGTTTAAAGAATGCATGAACTTGAAAACATCTTATTTTTGTCATAAATTTAAGTAAGAATACATGCAAAACTTTAATACTACATTCTAACTACAAAACAGCATTTAAAATTTTTACATCTGCCAATAAAAAGTTGTAACGACCTGACACAAATATTTATCACTTTCACACAACCAATTGACTAAAAAAATACAGTTTAGCTTTAAAAATTCAATGTTTTGTGCAATATCAAGATTACGAGACAAATGCTGCTTCATTATGTTTATCTGCATTTATACCAACTCAAACTCCAGATCTTACATTTGAAACATTAAATACAAATATATAAAAATGTCTTAAGAACAGAATTATCTTTTCATTTTATCACAAATATCAATATAGATAAATTTTAACTTATAATTTGTGTTTTTAAATGTTAAAAATTACACTATATCCTTTATTATATAAACTAATCTTAATTTTTTGACACAAATGATGTATTTTGCCAACATCTAATTTAACTTAATTGATGAATCTTGGAACAATTTCATACAATATTAATATTAATATTATGTGAAATTGTTAATAAATATCAATAAATTTCTCGACATAAAATATAATAAAATGGCTTACCATTTTTTATCATAGTAGAGTTTTCCGTCTTCTATCCGTGCTTCTATGTTCGCTGAGCCATTTTCACTCGGAATTTGGTCTAAATCTGTAAAATTTAAATAAGTATTAAATATGGGTAACAAGAAATTTTAATATTTTATGACAAAATACCGTAATGTAATTAAACTAGTAGTAAATTATTAATTTGCTTACAGTCTTGTTTCCTTAAACCAGTTGGTAACTTTCCCTGAAAAATAAGAAAATATTCACTTTAAAGACTTGAAAACTGCATAAAAATATTCACAATTAAGTGAAAAAGTTTTAAATAACAAAAACAGATTTTGTTTTTAAATATATTTTACTTAAACTGAATTGCTAGCATAAGAAAATTTAAAGCCGAGAAAGCCATTTAGCAAGCGATAAAAAATTTATCCAGTATAGCATTCGTATAGTGTTGTACAAAAATATCTTAATACTCAACTTTACACTCAGTGTCAAGTATATTAATTTTATGCTTAAATGAGCAATTAAAAGCAGTTAAGAATTACTAAAAGAATAATAATAAAAGCTGAGTCACACTTGTCTATCCAGGTTATATAACACCAATAGACAGTAGTGTGACTCAGCTTTTATTATTAGTATTTGGTGTCTGTTGTTATTTATATTTTATTACTAAAAGAACAATTAAAATGCTTTAATTTTTGGAACATTTTGAATCTTTATCCATCATTAGAGAAATACAGATGCAATCCTATTTATTGAATTTTCTGTATAAAAACATTCGTATAAGAAACTGAGTGTGAATAGTGTTATCAATCTAATAATTAAGATGGATTTACTATCAGACTACATTTTGGCTAGTTAAATATACAAATACTCTATAATTTGGACTAAAGATAAGCAATTAAGTTGTCATTACATATTAAATTTTAATAATTAGAATTAAAATTAATTTAGAATACTCTGGAAAAACAAATTGATTCTGGACTTGAACTGTAACATCAAGATGGCAACTTAATTGCTTATCTTTATCCAAATTACATAGTATTTGTATATATAATTAACCAAATATTTCAGATGAGAAAGTAATTATATAGAGTTTAAATTATACTTCCCATTTAGAAATTAAAATACTTAAAATTAAAAACAAATATTTATAGTAAAATTTGAACTACTTTGTTTAAGATCTTCAGATCTTCTAAAATTTCACTCTCGTCTAATAAATAATTAAGCTGAGGTAATATTCATTAAGGAAATAATGTAAATAAAATTCTTTTTAATTTTCAATTTAACTTAAAGATAAATTTTAAAAAAAAGTTGGAGAGAAAGTGATTAAATGAAATTACCCAAACAGCAATCAAGACTATTTAAAAATTATACTTTATCAAAATAGTCTTTAAATATTTAAAACCTAAGAGATTTTCAGCCTCACTGGCTTGTCTGGGTGTAAATTATTTCAAAAATTAAAATATGTTCCAAATATCTTAAAACTCAATTAAGAAATAATTATTGCAGTTTTATTGAACAAATCCAAAACAAAAATTCTTTCTTTCACAAGTCCTTTGATACAGAGTGAGTAAAATTAAAAACCATCTCAAATTATAGAAGTTGATAAACTTCTGTTACATTCCAGCATAGTAGATGAAAACTATAATTTGAACAGAATATTCTGCACACTGTTTTCCTGTACATTCATTTAATCTTGTATTTGTGTTCTTGCATAATTGTCAAACTTGTTTAAAAAGAAATTACAGATGTTACATCTTGATACTACATAATATCTATTTTTATAATTATTTATGATGTTTTTTATATGTGAAGAATTTAAGTGCCAAGAATAGCTTTGTGTAATTTGTTTTGTTTTGTTAGATAAGCAGATTAATGGAGAAAATATTTAATTTTGGGTATTAATCATAAATTAAAACATCATAAATAATTATAAAAATAGATATTACATAGTATCAAGATGCAGCACTTGTAATTTCTATTATGTCTTAATAATTTACTAATAAAGGATATAGTGTAATTTTAAACATTTAAAAACACAAATTATAAGTTAAAATTTATCTATTGATATTTGTGATAAAAATGAAAAGATAATTCTGTTCTTAAGACATTTTTATATATTTGTATTTAATGTTTCAAATGTAAGATATAATAAGATATATATCACCTGGCAGAGCAAGTTCATTCATCCAGATGACAAATCTATTTTGCTCTATTGTACAACACAAAAACTCATTCTGTCAGAAAGTTGGTACTGGCTCTACATACGATCAAACTGTGTGGTTGCACGAAGACACCAAAAGAAAACGAGCACAAAATTTATATCATTTATACATCAATTAGCAAATCTGGGGCATGTCAAAACTTCTTGCACAGAGTGCAGATAAGGTTGGATCCAATAGTGTAAAAGCAGAGTAAATCTTTCTTCCAATAGAATGAATAGTTCCCTCCAGATGCCGTATAGAATGTATTGATATTTAAGCAATTCAATCTCAAAAATCATTATTTTCTTTTAATTTGATTCAATAATAATCAAAATTATAGTTTTCATCTACAATGATAGAGTGTAACAGAAGTTTACCAACTTCTATAATTTGAGATGGTTTTTAATTTTATTCACACTGTAGCAAAGGATTTTTGTTATAGATTTGTTCAGTAAAACTGCAATTTCATACATTATAAGCAAATAAATTATTTTAAACTTTTATTTTGCCAAGCACTTAAAAATAATACATAAAATTTCTCATAAGTATTAAAGTATATGTTGAAAATTTACTCATAAGAATATTACAATAAAAAAAGAATATGTGTGTATTCATTAATATGTATTAAATTTAAATGTAATCTTAATCTGACACCTAACAAAAAAAGCATATTAATTTGACAAGACTATGGTCTATGGCAGCGCTGTCCAACTTATCATAGCCCGCAGGCCATATTTTCTTCACCAAACCTTTCGGGGGCCAAGAAGGTTGATAAACCACATGACATTTGCATAGTGCTACGGTTCAGTAAGCACTAATTGACGCTATAAAAAGGCGACAGTTCGACACACCGGATATACGTCACTCTCGTCTAAGTTCAACTTGGGAATTTTTTTTGTTCAATAATAAATGTGAATTCTTCTTCCTGGAAAAATAAGACATTCCCTGAAAATAAGACCTAGCGCATTTTTCAGAGCAAAAATTAATATAAGACACTGTCTTATTTTCGGGGAAACACGGTAGTAAAATAATTTTATTAATAATAATAATTTAGTAACATAAATTTATTCATAATGAAATGTACTCGCGGGCCGTAAAAATTATTTGGCAGGCCGTATACGGCCCGCGGGCCGCCAGTTGGACAGCGCTGGTCTATGGTAGTGGTGAAAATGTCTGTAATTCACCATGAAATACCGACTGACACCCAGAAACAGAAAAAATCAATAACAAAGTAGATTATAAAGGATCCTTGTGATCATAAATCTGCAAGTGTCGTGCATGAACAACGAAACTCTGATAAGGACTTCCAGGAATAAGACTGGGGGTTACTAAAAGAAGGGGCAAAGAACACATGTCGAGGAATGATAATCCAGATCCCAAGACCTGTATTGCCATTTCCTGATATCTGGCAATACTAAAGATTTGACTATTAACTGTTGCTAAACAATAACTTATATTTAAAGAAATCAAAAATTAACTTTCAAACAAATTCATAAAAATCAAAATCATAATGGCATATTAACAAATTTTAATTATTTTTGATTTTAACATTTTCAAAGCATAAAAAGGCTTCATCTCAGACAAGACTAAATATTCTTATATCCTACAAGTTTAATGACAATTGCAATTATTGTTTTTTATACAGCTAAACTTTGTGTCTGAATTCTACAAATAATTTATTATTCAAATTATGCCTAAAGAAGTCGCAATCTATAACAAAGATAAAATTCCAGTTCTTTATACTTTATTTTGTATCCAAAAATAAGGTCTTATATGCTTCAAAATGTTAGTAAATTTAAAACTTTTCTGACCTCTCATGTAGTTTTATTTAAACAATCAAGCAAATTGTATGATTCTGACAAAAAGAAAGATAAACCAATGCTAAAATACATGGCATATGGGTTTATTTAAGATTAACTATTTTTTTAAACCATACAGTCCCGTCTTCAGATCTATATCTTTGGAAATATAATGCCAAAGAATCATTTGAAAGCCTTAGCATATTAAATGAACTACATCTTGTTAAAACAGGAAATAAAACATTGGATCAGAAGATGGGATGGCACAGTCATAAGAAATGTTTAATCACAAACTCTGGCTCCTTTATAAATTTTCTATTAAGAAGTTGCTATTTATATCTAAAGACAATAATAAAATATCATAATGAATAATATAAAAGGATATCTGGTGAAGTTTTCCGTCTCTTCTCTGGCATCGGTATCGGATCATTGGGCCGTCTTCTCAGTTTACGCGTTGTCACGGGTTTCACATCCATCGAATCTAAATAATTAAATTTTGCAATAAAATTTGAATCTGAGAATATTCCTACATAAACTTTGGTTATAATTAATAATTTAATATTTAATATTAACATTAACTGAGGTATGTTATATTAGAAATTAAGGGAAAGTATGGAAATGTGGGCAAATAAGTCATGCCATAGTAGATATCTGTAAATTAATCTCATCACAAAAAGAACTGTTTTAAAGATGTTCCTTAGCATTCTGGTTGAGTAAAAATATCTTCCAAAATAACAATTTGTCCATAACATCACTAAGACTTAATTTGCTAGATGAACTGTAGTGGAGAACCATCAAAAGACCAGAAAGAAGCCAAAGTTCAGATAAACATAGCACAATAAGTTCACATTAGATCTTCCATCATACTTAAATTATGAATACAATTTCAAAATACATTTGGATTCTCAAAGATGCAGCCAAGAAAAAACCTAGGGTTAAAACTACTATCTTCATTTATCCACTTGAAGTAAAGACACATTCACCTTCATGCAGCTGTGATCAGTCACAACTGAGGATATGGGTATGCCAGTATCTGCTTTTACTGTGCATGGAAGGCTTCACAGAGGTCTGTAATCTAGATGACCAGCAATTCTTTTATACACAAGGCATCACCACAAAAGGGTATTTTTGCATTGGGCATGACTTCACATCAGTTAAACCAAAAACTTCTCACAGGCAAATTGAATTATGCTTTGTAGAGTGATTCGAAGTACACATGGTCCAAAGGACATGGGACACTTTACCAGCCCTAAAATATTCACAAAACAGACACTTAGGAAGAAGGCAGCATTACAGTTGGGGTGGCATCTCATTAGATGGATACATAGACCTCTACACATTTCCAAGAGGAACCACAACTGCCAAAAGATATAGGAATGAAATTCAGGATCCTATTGTTTGCCCTTGTGCAAATACAATATGATAAATTTACTAGTGATGGAACGATATCAAAATTCCTCCTGATTCCAATTCTTTTGAATACTTTCTAAAGTTTATTTTAGTTTAGAAAAATTAACAATTTATATTATGAGCATTGTACATTTGTTAATTAATAAACATCAAGCTTAAGAATGAAAAAAACTGGAAAATCCAAAATCAATCTTTACAAAGAAACATGAAAATTCTTCATTTATATGTGGATATTCATGCTTTTTTAGTGTACTACAAAGTAAATTTATAATCTTATTTTAGATAAAGTTAATATTGAAACACAACCCTCAGAGAAATTACAACTAATTCCCTTCTACTCAAAGAATTATTCCATCATGTCATCTAAGGTATATCTAAGTCTCTGTCTTTGGAAACTGCTTCATTGGCCGACATGACAATCAAGGGAGAGGAAGGTAAATCGGAAAATGCACTTTTTTCATGCTTCTCGCCATAGGCATGTCTTGTAAATGATTTAACTCTATTGTATTTAATACTAAATTAGGTTTGGCAATTGATGCAACAAGCAATCAAATTTCTTCACAAGTTAACCAATTTTTGAATTCATTCACTCAAGCCACAAATGTCTAGACTGACTCGTCTTGAAAAATCAATTTTTAAAACTCAAAATGGCATTAAACTTAGTGCAAACAAGTATTTTTACTCAAAATTGCACAAATCGTGCTTGAAAATTTCATGTATTACAGCATCATCTGTGCATCATAACAACTTTCATAATTATAATGAAAAAGTCATTTTATCATTACAAGTAAACATGCTAAATATTAAAATNTATTTTGATTCACAAAAATGAAACTGAAGAAAAATAAATGTTCTCCATTAAATTAAATTGAATATATGTAATTTATTTAATAAAATATTATAATATAACTAATAAAACAATTTATGATTTTTATTATTAAGTTTCTTATCAAATAGCATATTAATTCTATACAATAATATGTTTTTAAGCTCATATAATTTATAAATTTTTAAAATATTTTTAACCAATAGAAATAAAGGATCTCAAAATTTCGCAAAACGATTTCTAATATTTCGTATTTTTATTTTAACATAAACGAAATAAAGCGTAGATAATTTGAAAGTTTAACATAATAATAATAAATAATAAATAAATATTATTAAAAATAATAATTAAAACTATCCTTTATACCAAAACTAAAGCTAAAAATGTAATCAAATGAATTGAAAATTAAAGCAATGTTTTTAAAAACCATTTAAAACTTGTTTTGAAATTTTCAAATTGTAAATCAAACTAATTTTTAAATTTATGCTATTTGTGTGAGGTGGTGACAGAACATTTTACTTTTAATATATATACAGAACACAGATTGCCTGTCAAGCCGGCCCAATGCTGGCTGTATGGCAACCATAAAGTCACCCTATCTTCCCTAAAACGGAACAGTTAGTAATCATGGTTAGTACTGAATGCAATCTCTCATCGCTCTGACTATATGAAAGAAAAGTCCACCATGACACATGCAATGTCCCATATATGTCATCTCGTATATGAAGCATTGCTTAGTCGCAGCTTTGTTCATTTTAAGAATCAATAGTCATGATGAGATTTTCTCAATTCCAATACTTGGAAAATGTCTGATTTCTCCAATTCCCGATTGCAGTTGCTAACACTTATCCTACAAAATGATAATGCTTGATGCACCTAGATAGGGTAGTAGGCCAGTATCTTTAGGTGGAGAAAATTGCACATATGAATTAATCAGTAAGGTCTTCATACCTTAATCCTAAAGAACTCGTATGGGATGCGCTCAGAAGTCTTGTTGCTGTCTCCAATCCTCACTACGTCAACAAAGACTTGGAACACATTTGCAAGAATAATGCACTTTGATCAATACTGAGACACTAGGTACCATTATCAACAACAAGCAACATCACTATGAAGTCTGTATTGTTTCTAGAGATGATCATATGTCATATTAACTAAAAATTATGACAACACACATGATTAAACATTAAATAAAATAGACATAATTGTACACATGTCGTTCTTACCTAATAAGAAAAAAAATTGCATGCATTCCTCTAAAAATGTACTAACTAACATTGAAGATAGTAAAGTTGTATTTACAAAGCATGTAAAACTCAAAAGATGTTACAAAGAATTGAGGCAACTTCTCTATCTTCAATATTAACCTATTTTCAATAAAATTTACATGGAAGCTACACTTTTTTTAAAGTTTTGACTCTTTTTGCCCTGCAAGCACTAAGAGGAGGTCCTTTTTAATCACACCCATTGCAAGTTTGGCCAAACCAATAATGAAGACTGTGAAATGGCAAAGGATGGAAATAGGCATATTTAGGAAGGACCACTCCTAAGAAATTCCTAAGATTTTTTCAACTGCTTAAATTTGATCCCGGTTTCCCAGAGCGTTGGGCTGACATCTCGGCTATCCAGCACTGGCAGACTACAATTTCTAAGTGAAATTTAATTCTTTTTACAAATTAGGAGAAATTGACAGACCTCCAGTGAGTTCGATAGTGTTTCTCTCGGCTTCAATCATCCGTCTCTTTTCCTCTAATTCCATTATGAGATTCTCTCTCAACTCTATCTTCTTCTCTTCAAATTCTCGCACAGAAGCTTTCTTTTCATTTATGTACTCTCTCTCTACTCTCTCGATCTGAAAATCAAAGAAATTTAATATAGTAAGTGTAACTGGATTAATATAAAAAGTGACCTACGTGATATTTCTAATTATTCATTTTCTTGCATCTAATTTTTCTCACTTTACAAACTTTAGAAACAGGATGTATTCAATTAGATGTCTGCGTGGTTAAATATTGTCTTACTGCTGTGCAAGATCAGAATTCAAATTTACATCAAAGTAATAGAGAAATATTGTTTTGATATAAACTACATTAGAAATGTCATCTTACATAAGATTAAATTTGCATTTTAAACACGCATAATCACCTCGTATATCTGAAAGACGTCATTTAGTATGACACGATCCTGATATGTCTGTTCCAGTTTCTTCAGTCGACGTAAATACTCTGGATGGTTGCCTTCCTGCAACTGTTGGAGCTGCTTCTTCAGATTCGCTAACTTGTCTTGGTACATTCTATATTTGATTAGAAAGTTCAGATGTAAAAGAAAGAAAACAGATTGCAACTTAGTAATATTTTATATGAAAAATTAATATAAACATATTTATCTAACAAATTAATTATCTTAAATGGATGACATTACAAAGGCTTTGTTAATTGTATTGACTAATATTCTGAACAGGACAAAGTGTTATTCCTTATGCAAATTTGTCAAATTACTAACTAAATTACATTATTGATTATACAAAAGATGTATTTGTCAGTCGACACATCCAAACCATCAAACTTCAGATGTCATAACTAAGGTCAACAATAATTCCACAGCAATATAAATGAACTGGGTCTAATTCTAAATGTAATAAAAAAATGTCTACAAACTTTTGTATCTCCAATTGTAAAGTTTTTTATTAGTGACTAATGTTTTCATTTCAAAACATTAGTTGCTAATAAAAATATTTACAATTGGAGAAACAAAGGTTTTGTGGACTTTTTTGAGGTCAACAATTTGTATATGTATATTCATGATATAATTAAACTCTGTCAATAACCCACCAATAATCATTTACATTATTGATAAGTCACTCACAAACTTGTAAAGTATCAACAAACTGAATGAAAAATCAGTTAAAAATGTTTAGATGATGGCAAAAGTTTCATAATATTCAATTAAGATACTTTAAAATCATCAAGAGTAGTTATGTATTCTATCTTTTATTGTTGAACTATTCAAATTATATATAAATTAGAAATTCCCCATCAAGCATGACAGAATACTTTTTACGAAAAAGTAGAGATTAAAGCTAATGGGCTCATTATATCATTACCTCTAATTGGATAATAAAATGTCATACGGTTACTATGGAAAGAGTTTTTAACAAGTTTGTTATAGAAGTGACATGATGCGGATATGTTTTATTTAAGTTTAAATTTTAAATTTAATAAAGTAAGTTTAAAATATGTTATTTGCCAAAATATTTTAAAATGCAACTTAAGGGAAATTCTATAGTCAAGCACAAACTAAATAAAGTGACTGATGTCACTGCAACCTACGATTACTGATCCAAAATTAATAAAATGTTTATTCTAGAGCCAATATTTCTACAAAATAAGTAGCCTATACTTTCTGTCAGAACATAAGAATAATATAACCAAAATTTCTTCTGAATTGGACAAAAATTGCAGGAGTTATAAGGAATTCACACACACACACACACACACACACACACACACACACACACACGACAGCTTTGATGTCATTAAATATGCTCTTCATGACACCAAATATAGAATAAGAATAAAGCAAATTGTCTATTGGCATTAAAGTTTTTTATTTTCAAGTTATTTAATTAAAAACAAATACTTTTAAAATATCATCTTCAGGTTTCATATTATAACTTTATCAAATGAAATTATGTTTCTGATCATTTAAAGTCTTTCTATATTGTTCAAAAACACTTAATTTATACAGAAACTTTTATTATAATCAAGAATAGGCATACACACTGACATTAGGTTTAATTATATTTCTTCCAATTTGTTAAAACTAAAAAATAAGCAGCAGAAAATGTTAAAATATGTTTCAATTTGTTTCCAGTTGACATTCTGGCAAACTAAACACATCAAATTTAGAAAGAGAACAATATTCCTTTCCACCCAAGTAACTTGAAATTTTAAGTCAAATTTAAATTCTAGAAGTAAAGAACTTCCCAAGATTTCTTTGTAATTCATAAATATTTCATAAAATACTTCATAAAAGGCAATAGCATATTCCTTAAACTTTCAAAATTGCAATACTATTTACAAGTTCTACAATGTATTGTTGGTCTTAATGCAAAACATGATCGAAATATTGTTGTTAGTCCCTCAAATACTTCAATTTATGAAAACCATTTGACTGACCTCATAAAATGGTTGCATTAGATGCCGTTAATCACTACAGATGTATATTATCCGTAAGATAAGTTCTCATTTAGTTCTTTGTTAGAGAACTGATGGACATGTAAGCAATACCATAATCTATTCACAAATGAATCAATCTGTCAGCGTCTGCTTGACACAATCAATAAAAGACATGCCTATATATTGTGGGATTCATGATCTTGGTTGATCAAGATGCCCAACCTAAGGAGAAAAGAAGAGACTTGACAAGACAAATAGGCTAGAAATTTTTCCAAGTTAGTAGTATATTGTCCACATATAAAAATCTTGTCAATGTCTTATGAAATATTTGTTCTGTAAATAAACTTGCATTAGAAATTTAGACTTAATTCAAACAATAACATCTACTTTATAAAGAGATGAAGAACAGGATTCAAGTAATTCTAAAATTGGTTATCAAGGAATAGAAAAAGATTTAGCTCGATAAATCAAGAAATCTGGGGAAAGAATCAAAGAGGAGAAGAATGAAATTGTTGAAAGGAGTGCATAAAGTAATAAATTAGATTCACTTACTTAAAGTTGCTGGACAAATTACTGCTATCATCATTAAATTTACTGTTTTAGAATTAGAAATATTGCTTTATTTATTTTATTGTAATCTATTTATTACTTTTTTGTAACTTATGTATCATAATAGAACAAAAACTGTACAGAAATTTACTTTTATAAACCAATATTTCTAATTCTAAAACAGTAATTTAAAAACAATGAAAATTTGAAAATCAGTAAGTTCCATTGTTGCTAATTGAAAGCTCACATTTATAATTACTAATTTTAATACAAGATGGTACCTAATGCCTCATTCTAGTGCCAAATTCATTTCTAATTTATAATCATTATATCCAAATTTAGCCCAATCATTTGTGACAGTTGTGGTTGTATATTTGCTTAATATCAGGTTTCAATTGGTGTGTATATTTATAGATCACATTTACATAATCTTTTGACTTTATATTTAACAATAACAAAATCAAAATATGCATATAATAATCAATAATATAAAAGCTGTCATTTGTGTGAATGTGAATTCCTTATAACTCCTGCAATTTCTGTCCATTCCAGAATGAAATTTTGGTTCTATTCATCTTAGATTCTGATGGAAAGTATAGACTACTTATTTTGCAGAAATATTGGCTACAGAAAAAATGTTTTATCAATTTTCGATCAATGATCGCACTTACACTGCAGTGACATCAGTGAGGAAATTTCCCTTACCTTGCATTTTAAAACATTTTGGCAAATGGTGTATTTTAAACTTACTTCATTAAATTCAAACTTTAAAATGATAGCTGCATCCTGTCACTTCTATAACAAATTTAAAAAAAAAATGTTTTCATAGTGACTGCATGATGTTCTATTATCCAATCAGAAGTAATGATCTAATGATCCCATTATTTAGAAAGTGTTATCACTAATGTAACTAATGTACAATACATACAATTCATCTTTGTTTTGTCAACACAAAATTAAAAAGACTCGCATTTTTCAACAAAATTGCGAGTCTTTTTGTCAGGTAAATTCTAGATCTAAAAGAATAAGAACAACTGAGACCCCTGAAGGCCATGAATTCTGACTTGAACAATATCAAGTAAGAATGGCTTTGTCGAGGGCTGCAGAAACAGCATCGCATCAAGCTCGACTTGAATCTCTTCTCAATTCTTCAATCTCTACTTTTTTATAAAAATATTCCATCATGCTTGGCAGAGTTATTTCTAGTATTGTATTAAATTCACTACTTGTTCAGGTTTTTAATGCCTTAAATCAGTGTTTCTTAACAGGGGGCTACGGCCACCTGGGGGTCCATAAGAAGTTTACAGGGGGCCGCCAAATTATGCAAAATTTCCTTCAGAATATAATAAAAGAAAATCGATGTATAATGGAATATCATATTGAAAAGTGAAATAAGAAAGATAATGTTTTCATATTTACTTTTTTTTATTTATATCTTATTTCTTCCTACATTACAACTTTGTTAGTACAGAAGAAATAAATGCAAATATGATACTTACACCACAATATTTACTTCTTTTCTTCCAAAGTAATTCTAAGAAACTATTAATGCTTGGAATTTTAAAAATGATTAGGAAAAATAGTAGGCTTTGAAAATTTAAATGTTTTTGCTAAAGATATGCAAAATCTTTACGACAAGTTGTTGATATTTTAGTTTTAGCATCGACTTTGGATCAAATAATAGCGCATTTCTTTCTTATATTGTGTGTTTAGTTTTAATTACTTATGATTAACCCATAAAAATGAGCAAAAAACAGAAAGAAACATTAGAAAATTTTTTTAATGTAAATAATCACAGACCAGGACCTTCAAAAAGAAAATACAGTGAAGAAAATACTAGTGAAAGTTCCAATGATGCAACAGTGAAAAATGCAACAGAAAAAAACCAGAAGGCCTAAAACTGAAGGTACAAAATTAAGTAACATTAAAATTAGAAAATACAATCATGATTATATCAAATATGGGTTCATAAAAAATTCAATTTATTATAGATAATTTAACAAATATAAATTATTATTAAAAAAAATGGGGGTCACAAAAAAATTATGAAATATTTGGTGGGCTGCGAGTATAAAAAGGTTAAGAACCACTGCCTTAAATTAATTAAAAACTTATATCATTGTTAGATTTCTATGCACTTTCAATTACAAGTACTTTGTTCTATTTGAATTATTTATTACCAAGATGGCCAAAATGTGACTTATGATCTGCATGTGGCTCTTATAGACCTTTATTATGGCTACTGTATATAGACCCTATCTCTAAAATCATATCCCTACAGTATATAGTTTATATATAAAAACCATTCCAATATAAGATGCGATTCACACTGTTTCTGATATGTGGCATGTGGTTCCTATTATAAGAAGTTTTGCCCACCCAATTTATTACTATTTCTTCTACTTCAAATATCACTTCCAATTTAAAGCTTAAACTTCAAATAACTTTTACTTGGAAAAAATCTAAATGCTTTCTTCTACATTTTCAAATTATTTTAGCTCATATTTGGAGATAAATGATCAAGTAATTTCTTCTTAAAACTTTTAAATTAAATGATGCTGACTTAATTTAAAGATGAATGTTGTTAACCAGGGAAAAGATAAATTAGAAGTATTCTAAAAAAAAAAATTTTTTTTTTATTTTTAAACATTAGCAAAAACAATGTCAGATTTCTGAATTAAGTTTTTAATAAAAACTCCAAAATAAATGATTTTTATATTTTTACATGTTAACATATTACTTGAGTCATCATTATCTTCAATAGAAAAACAGCATAGGCCGTTCTGTCAACAGAAATACAAAAAAAGGTAGCCTTTTTCGTACTTTCATCAATGCAATGGTCTGTACAATCAGTTATTTTACATTATGTTATATTCTAAACAAATTTATATTGTAAATGAGATTTTCTATTGTATTTTCATCATATTTTGCATCATTCTATTCTGTTGAATATGTGTTTGTGTGTCAAAAAGCACTCATATAATTGACTAAAAATATTCCAATTTATTCAAATTTTTAGGTTATTATCTTGTATATTAATTTACTGAAGTTCAATCAGGTCACGCTATTTAGTACTAGTAATGGTAGCCAAGTAAATCTGACATAACAATTAACTAATGCAAAAATTTAAAAGAAAACATACTGTTCTTTAATTTCCGTAAACTCCTCCTCTTGTTTAACCATATCTGTTTCGCTGGCATCTTCAGTATCTAAAAGGATACAAAACGTAGTAAATTATATATAAATAAATAGCCAAATGTTTAGCACATATAATAAAAAATTAATTCTATAATGATACAAAATAATATTAAAATCCTAATTTTTGACTACCTTTTACATATTAGTAAAAAAGGTTTGCTTCAACAGACACAGAACCAACTTCCAGTGCATATAATACAAAAATCAAACACTCGTAAATGTTTTCCAACTCCTCCCGAGTCCTTCTTCAGGTGCGACTGAATGGTTACTCAATGGAATATTATCAGAACTAATGCCGTTTTGTAAAAATTTTTAAAACAACGTCATTCAAACAACCATTTGAAAATATAAATATAAATTTAATGTTGTGTAAGCATTATCATGCACATAACAATCATTCTGTGTGTTGTAAACAGGGCTTTGGAGTCAAAGTCGGGGAAAATGTGTCGACTCCAACTCCAGCATTTTAAGTTTAATTTCATTTTTATTTCAATGAAAGAAAATTTATTTTCTATTTAATAATTTTTTAAAATGTTTTTGTATTTTGTTATAATTCATTTATTTTAAATACAAAATGCAACAATTTAATTTATTAAATATGTATCAATAGTTTTCTTTGCAGTATTTGTGTTTAGTAGTTAAATTATTTTGACCCAATTGAATTTGAATATTTTTGATTCATTCCTTTATTATCCCCACTGTAAATACGTACTCTAATTTTTTGAATGAGCCAGACTAATTGATCAAAGTATATATTTTTCTTTTCTGAACAAGGGGCTGAGTAGCTAGATCGCATACTTTTTAGTTGGACTAATGTTTCTGGAAAGGTGAAATTGAAGTGCAAAAGCTGTAGAATAAAGATATGTAGATGTAGAATTTTATCACTCCCCCTTTTTTCTCTTATTAAATATTTGTTAAAAACTAATTTTTTATACAAATAAATATTAATGTAAGTTAAATATTAAAAATACTAACTATAAAAGTATTTGGGTAAATGCCGGGGCTCCTTTCAGTACTCAGAGTAGGGTAACTCCTATGAGTGCCTCTGCCCCCCTATAAAATGACTGTATTTAATTTTGCCAGAGTCAGGAGTTGGAGTTGGCCTACTAAAATTATCAGGAGTTGGAGTTGGCCTACTAAAATTATCAGGAGTTGGAGTCAAGTGTTTTTTTTATCAACTCCACAGCCCTGGTTGTAAATATATCCTGGTGTGGAGTGATGTGTATATTAAGGTTTGCTTCTTTGTTGATGTTCTTGTTATTAAAATTTTATGATTTTAATCAGAAATTTGAATATTTCTTGAATGTGTTCATTGTGATAATTAAAGTAAACCCATGCTAACTCCCATCAATAGAGGTGTAGGTCATCCAAGTCAGTGAAGCATTTTCTCCAATAACACAGAAAACAAGAAAAAAAAATATACAGGTAACCCCCATATAACATGGCACTTCTATAGCACAGATTCACTCTAACACGGTTCGAGAATTGGGAACATCCCCATATAACGTGGTGCTTTTATAGCATTGGTTCACTCTAACACAGTTCGGGAATTGGGTAAAACCCTCGTATAACATGAAATGTAATAACGGGTGTGTTCTTTACCTCCGCGTAACCCCGTGCGAGCACTCTAATTGTTTTCGTGGCTACTTTGAATGCTCTTTCAACAAATAATCCATTTAATGGTTAAATTTTACAATTGGGACCCTTCTTTTGCCTCTAAAAGCTCATTTTAGAATTATGGATTCCTCCATCACGATACTATCGATAGTGTGGGTGCCGCCATCTTTCTTTCACTATCGTTCCTAAATGCCTACAAACAGCAGTGAAGTCCCGTTGCAGAGTGACCGCTATTAACGAATGCACTCTAAAACTGTTACCAGTTGATTATGCTCATGCTGAGATCATCATATAGGATGAATAATCCTCTGGTAAAATATTTACTTAAATAATAAATAACTATTTTACTGACGAAAAAAATGAATAATAAATCCGATTTAAATAAGGATTTAACAGCATGTTTTTTTAATTTTTGGAACCTAACCCCCCTTTTCACACTAGTTCTTTGTTTCGTATAACACGGATTTGCATAACAAGGCAATTTTTTGGAACGTAACTCCCGTGTTATACAGGGGTTACCTGTACAATGTAGTAATTTATTACAATTGGCTCTGTAATAAAAGTTTTACCAAGTTATTCTTTCAAATCACCATAACAGTGTATTTCTATTAATAGGACTTATCATACTGGTGTATAAGATTACAGCAACTCAGTCACACAGATTAAAATTGTTTTATTTACAATTACCTGTAAATAATTGTAAATAAAACAATTTGTTTACAATTACCTGGTAATTGTAAATAAAACAATTTTAATCTGTGTGACTGAGTTGCTGTAATCTTATACAGTAGAACCCCTCTAATCCATCACCTTTGGGACTGGGGGTATGGTCGGAACGCAAAAAAGGTCGGATTATCAGAAAAAAGTAAAATAAACAATCTTCCCTTTGTCCAGTCTTTGTAGCACTGGTAATTTTTCATTTAATGAAAGAGTAACGTTTTTACGTTTCATTCCTGACATGTTGAAAACACACACAAAACTGTACATGTACACACAATGTAAAACATATATTGTAACGAACACAGAAGAACGCCACGAACGGTGAGTCACTGACGAGTCGGGACAAGTTTCTCGAGTCCAACCACGGTCGGATTAACCGGAGTGACAGACTAGCCGAGGGCGGACTAGAGGGGTTCTACTGTACACCAGTATGATAAGTCCTATTAATAGAAATACACTGTTATGATGATTTGAAAGAATAACTTGTTTGAATTAAGGACATTGATGCATATTAATTAAAGTTTTACCAAGTTTTAGTAGGTTTTTCTTATAGGCTGGTCAAGCATCTTTATCTTACACTTTCCCTTTGAGCAAGAAGTACAAAATAATACAAACAAAATTTGCTGTCTTCCTACATCCTGCAATCACAAGAACAGTATTAACACTGGACTGGATTTTTAAATTTAAATTTGACTAATTTTCGATTTTAAAATTTTTATAAGAAAATATTACTACTACTTTCTACTCAAGAAGCATCCTAGTTTGCCATTTTCCCAGGAGTGCACTTTCCAGTCTTAGAATTGTTTGCAAACAAAACATTTATAGTCCTGTCTTTCGTCTTTTGGAACCACTTTGCCACCACTTTATTAGATGTTAGGTTTCTTGGTACTGATCTTGGCAATTGTCTCGAAATGCCCATTTTAGCCTGCCTTGTCACTGAATGGAGCCTGCCCTCTGACTAGTATTTCTCAGAAAACATTTTCTGTTGTGACAGAAAACAACTTGTACCATGTATGTGCATAAACACAATAAGTATCACTTGCAATGGCATCCACAGTTCTTTGCATTTAGGACTTTATTATTTGAGATAAACATCACTCAAAAACTGTACAAAAAAAATGGTTATTTGGCAAAATTTAGAGATTGATAAGGTACAGAATCAGCTTCCCAGTGGATTGAGAATAGTGGAGAATTGACCAGACAGTCAAATTTGAAAATCTTTAATTTATACCATGTTTGACCAACTTATAATGAAGGTTGGTCAACTTTTATGAGTTAAGCATACCAATGATCTACTTCATATGTCTGTTCTTCTATAAAAGCTTAATAATCCACCCTAATAATATTATGCTGAAAAATAGTGATATTTATTACACAATAATTAACATTCCAGATTATCTTTTTGTAAACTAAACAAATTAAACACCACCATTTATTTTATACCATAGCAAAAAAAAAAAACATTTTAATTTCTTTCTGTCACACAAATCACAAATTTTGCTCCTTTTTGGCTCATTCATTCATTCATTTTGCACTTAAATGAAAATTTTTAGGATGCAACAAAATTATTATTAAAACCTAGCAAAGACCAATGACACAAGGAGCATTTCTTTGTATCCACCATATGTTACCTTAGGAAGCATTACGAATCCTTATCAAATAGTTAAAAGATATTGCCATAAAAAATATCAATTAAATATTCCTATTAAAATTACACCGTATTTTTCATGTTTTAACAAACCAAATTTTCTGCCATCTACCAAAAATAATGCACCGATCAACTCTGTACCCATTCTCTTATCCTTTTGAGACAGTAAGACCTGATGTGGATTCCGGCCAAGCAGGCCTTGTCCTTCATTTTTTAGATCATATTTTGCAAAATACGATACATAACATAAATAAACCAAAAATGTAAAGATCTGTTTATTTCTCGACTCCTCAGATACAACAGATGGCAACTATCCAAGTTTTAACAGATATTAACGCATTGTCTAATAAGTAGTAAGGTAGAATCTACAGACAGTTTTTTCAAACCAATTGTTTTTTAAATAGCATCTCAAATATTCATCATATGTACAACAAATGTCAGCATGGGAATACAAGTGCATAGAATCATACAAGAACAACAAACAGGAAAAGAGCTTTTAGTTCTACTTTGGTTTTCATTCCAGGCTAAACAGAAATTTAGAGACATCCATCATAATTTTTAATTAAACCAAAGAAATAATAAGGTCAGTATAAATATGTTTATTCTCTTCACATAAAGAATTTTAAAAAATAATTTTGTGAAACAAACTCAACGTAAATACCAGCAAGCTCATAAAAGTTGTTTCAAAGACATTGTATACGTGATTTAACGATGCATCAATCGACAAACTACCTTCATACATAATAACAGAAAGAAACATATTAGAAAGTAGTCAAATTCGTTAAGTAATTTTTATTATAAACATTAAATGTAATTAGAAAACATCTCAGAACACAAGGATTAATTCTTTAATTTTTAACAAATAAACTATTTTTTAAGACTCAATAACACGGATAACTCTAACACAACTTCAAGAATAATAATCTTTTACGATATTTCTTCTTTAAAACTACACTAAGGGTTATTTCTTGTTGTCAAGACTAGAGATAAATGAAGAATATTACAGTAGCAATTTTGTCTCCTAATAAAGTAAGTTCATTATTAATTATCCTGCTCTTTACAGCTTCCTGGCGGATAGCATCTTTCGACTCGATCGCAAAACTTTTTCCGGGTCAATAAAAAGAAAATACGAACAACATTTACTCGAGCGAATTCGAGTTTACGGTATAAATTTTTGGGCGTTTAACCAAATAATCAGACAACAGTAATTTGGATACAGAGTGGCACAAGCCAGATTTATATTTGGGTAGATTTTCTGACCGGAAATCGTTCGTTTCCGGTAAAAAGGTTGTTCTCGCTTAAAAAAACCAGGAACAATTCTTCACCTGTTTTTTTCAATGTGAAAGAACAGAAGAATTCAAATTTAGATGCAATAATCAGAGACAAGAGTAAGATCATAAAATAATTAAGAATAAATAGAAAAACAGAATGAAATGTTCAGAATCAACATTTGATCCTTCAGTTGATATATACTTAGGGTGTTTCACACCCTAAGTATATATTAACAATACACCTCCCATCATACAAAACACATTTAATCCTATTTTGTAACGACACAATACCAATTTTTAAAAACTACTTTCGGCTTTACATATTTTGGATTTATTCCAAGTCGTCCGACACCACGAGAGCCAAATTTAGAAAGACGACAGCCCGGCCACGACGTAGCAGGACAAGCGGGAGAACGAAGCATCGGAAATGCACGGCCGGGTCGGCAACGCGTCCCAAACCCCACGAAAGACGACGGACCTCTCGGTCCTTTAGCTCCGAGGAAAGACAACCCCGATCCCCGCGGCGCCAAAACGTTCCCGGGACAATCTACGATCCCCGGCAAGAGCCGACCAACCCGCAACCGACAGAAACCACCCCAAGCGTACGTTGCAGCCAAAGTCCGCAAACCGGACAAAGACGAAATCGACCGGCCCGCGCCGGCTCTATCCGAGTCCTTCAACCGAAACATATTTCCAACTCTACACGCATAAAGCACGCTCCCTCCATCTGTCTTGCAGTAGCGTCGGCCGTATTTGCCGGCAAACAGGATAAAGTTCAAAATTATTAGACTTTTGCTTTAACCGGAAAACCCGGATAAATTTAGCATTCGTAAATGTCTCGGCAGAGCGCAACCAATTTTGGAGGGATATCTGACGAATAATCGGGTCAAATTTAGAGTTTGACTTTTTTGTTCCTACGGATAGGCTATGTAGCTCCGTTAGCGTCCCAACGGCGTCATTTACATCCGAAATCGCCCATTTGCATCGGCTGTAACGTGTATAAAAATACAATAATTGTGACGTAAAAGTAACTCGTATCAAGCAAGCAAGCGTATACGCGGCCGACAGTTTGTCTGACCTTAACACCCCGATTTGATCTCGCAAATGATATATTTGTCATGCATTTGTTCCACAACGTAAATATAACCAAATTCATTTAAAGTACGCGTAATTTACGGCTTGGCCAAAGCCGCGGGCAGTAACTAAGGAGAGGAGAGACCGTTGATTTTTAAAGCTAAACTGACCTTCGTCCGAATCTCGATCTTCGTTTTCTCTTTCTTCTTCGTAATCGTTGCTATTTTCCTCTTCCAAATCGTTTTCGCTCATCTTCATATCACTAACTTGGAGCCGTGGCCGAGTTTCCCAATAAACAAGATTAACCGCTCGCTAGTGGCGCCACCTCGATCGTTAGAAAAAAAATACAGTACTGTATTTACTTTTTAATTTTGAAATTAAACATTATATATACCGGTATGTATTTTAACTTTAATAAAATTAATTTTTTTAATATAAGACTACTTTTACTGTTACCGACATATTTGTTATGGCACGTGCCCAGAACGGAACTTTGCGCTCTTATAGAAGTTTCAAATTTTTATCTTTATTTTTCAGTTTACACCTCGGTTATTCGTTTATTCCGTCTTCCTAACTCTTGTTAAAATATTTTGTAAATTATACTCTTATAGGAATCGAAACCGAACGATTGTGGAAGAAAATGCACTTCCGTTTAGCCGCGGAGCGGCCGAAAATGCATTGAAAATTATTACGAAAATTAAAATTATAACATTATAAATATATATTTTATACCTATATTTACGAATAATTTACCATTTCTATTTTACGACATAATTACAGGCCAATTACCGAATGGCAGACGGAGCGAAATATTCATACATTAAGCGTTATAAATGCTCAATAAAGACGAAATAATTTTATTGCTGAAGTTTTATTTAGAAGTTTAAAAATAATTTAAAAACTGTTTAGACAGTTTTGTCGCTCTAGATAAAGTTTCAGATATCAATTTTCTGAAAAAAAAAAAATTGTTGTTTATTAAAATAAAAATTTGCCACGTGTGGCGCTGCGGAATTTGAGTGTCGGCTTGAGCGCGTATCCTTGACAACGTCCAAAATGACTTGATGGCGTCTTTAGTGGCCGATTACGGTTCGGAAAGCGAAGAAGGAGGAGAAGAAGAAGAGGAAAGGTTGATAATTTTTTAAAGTTTGATTATAAAAGTACTTTAAAATAAGCTTAAAGAGTCATAAATTGTTTCTATATTCGAATTCGAAGCAAAGATCTCGCTAACACATTAGGCCTAACCAATCAGCTGATACAAGATTCGTTGGTTTGGCTTCGTATAATGACGCTGTACGTCCATTTGACGTCATTTCCCGAATTTGTTCGTTACAAAGTCGCGGAAATGACGTCAAATTGATGTAAAATCTAAACTGTCGTCACCGAGAGAACAGACTCGTTACGTTGTAAATGACTTAATTATAATAAATTGGACGTATTTCCAGGTATTCTCGTCCGTTTAAATCGACAAAACTGGAAATTGTTCCTGGAACGATATTGTGACTGTGTATATCAATAACAAATTTGGATGTCTCGACCCGGAATGATGCCAAAATCTTTAATGGATGTTGATTGAAAAACTTGAATTGGATCCAAAGTTTGAATGATTTTTGAAAATCTACCTTAATGCTTTGCCAGATAAAAATATTTCTGTCAAGTTTTATTTTCCTGATTAATCATAGGATATTTTTGTTTTGTAAACGAATATTTAAGTCGTGTATAATGCATGTAAGAGAACGTTACATATTTATTATAATATCCACTAATGTCTACAATCTTTGTAATTGTAGACGTGTGACGTTAAAATACTTTAACTTCCAGAGGTGCGGTGCGGATATTTGACGTCCCAGTGTAATCGCTTTATCGTGAACGAGGAATTGTCTTTTGTAGCGATGGTGTACTCGACTTTGTCTGCGATATTCTTTAGTTATTTCTTGTCCGTTAAGACAGTTCGTGATATCCTTTCTTGTGTGACGTCTGGAGCATTTTGACCTTTCCTTGCTGAGCCTCTAACTTACAAAATTTGTTTTAAAAAATATTGAATTTGGCATAACTTTGCCTTACGTACAATATTACCAAAATATAAATTTCTGTACGGCCTGAAAATAATTTGGTGGTTTCGAGATTAATTTAATGGTAACATACCAATCTAGCATGCATGAATTGTGGGTTTGTTCTAATCCAGACTAATCTTTCCTTTTAGAAATTTCTAAATTAAAAAAAAATAAATTAAATTTAAGATTTACATGAAAATGATTTTAAACACAAACCTTATCTTGGAGGTAAGGTTGATGCTTGAAATAAGTTCGTTTTTGGATCAAAATGCCAACTGGTTTGACACACTTATTAATTTATTAATGGATTTGAACTCGATAAGAGCATTGATGGCACTAGGACTTTTTTCTGCGAGGGCAGTGGTGGGTAATGTTTATCATTAAATAAATAATTATTTGAAATTTAACAATTTGTTTTTCAATAAGTTAATCTTACCAAACTTTTACTGCCTATATAATTACTTTCTGAACAATCAATTTGTATTTTAAAAAATCTTAAATAATAGTCGGTATGGTACATTTGAATAAATAATGTCTGGACGGGCAGACGGATAAGCAAGGTTTTGGGACGAGCTGGCACCCGTCGTCGTGTGACTCTAGTGCAGTCTGCAAATAAAACTGGTATAAAACACTTCCTCGTAAAATTCCCACTATCTTCCGTCCGTCTTTCCTTAATCTCTGGGGCAGGGTTAGATAGACGAAAGACAACACCGGATGTGTAATCCTCGGGCGAGAGGCTCCGATTAACTATATAAGAACTAATGGTGCGGACTGGAAGTTACATTATTTCCATTAAAAAATTTTTTCCCAAAAGGCAGTAGATAGGCACGACTTCATTGTTAAATGAAAAGTATGATGTATGGGAGCAAGTCGCTACTAATTTGAGATGGAGAGAATATATTTTAAGTTAAATAAATTAAAAACATGATTAAAAATTGAAGCCCGGCATTGTGACAATGTCACAATAAGTAATCACTCGTTACATAAGCATCATTCTTAACACAAATGTATTAATATATAAGGTTATATATAAATTTTAAATGTTTGGTCTAGAAGGAACAATATAACTCAGTGTAGTGATAATTAAGAACACATACCAGACAGTTATATTTATAAATGCAGGAAACCTACTGGTATTCTAATTAAGACTATCAAGTGGTAAACCTAAGTTTGCCTCTTGATTGAAAACGTGACTAGGAGGGCAGAGGTTCGAGACTAATGATCTTCAAAATGTCGTCATTAAGGCCATCTCAAGTCACTGGTGGCAACATTGTACAAAGAGGGGATTTCGAAGCTTGTCTACAGACAGACAATGCCTCAATCTTCAGGGTGATTGTGTCGAAAAGTGACCATGTTTGTACCTAACTTGTGATAATATATTCATTTTGTTATTTACATTTGTCTTTCTTTTATGGACCATTGGAGGTTGAAAAAACAACAGCCCTTGTAATTAAAGTTTTACTGGAAATTCCATCTTCAGATCAACAAACATGGAAACAAAGTTCCAAAAATGTTTGTATATTGTCAGTAAATTTCTGAGAACTTGATGTTATTTACATAATTTTTGAATGTTACAAATCAAAGAAATTAATGTATTATAGCACATTCAGTATAATTAGAAACTAACATTTAGAATTATGCGGAATTCCGCATAATTCGATCGATCCACATCACATTAAATTGGCGGTCTTTAGGGCTTGTACACATTAAACGCGCGTTAGCGCGGCGTTCGACGACCGTTTAGTGGAGCGTTATCACTGGCTCAGTTTGGAAATGGACATGAAAGTAATTTCTTGTGTGTGCCTCCTCCATCGTCGCTATAAAAGACGATGGCAGAGGCAAAGAGAATTTTGGGTGCACCCAATGTTACGAGATAGACTGACGCATGGAATGTTTCTGACGTATCCAAAACAAAGATAATATGAACCCAAATTTTTAAATTCTTTTAGAATATCTATAAAATCATTTTACGATGGCTGGTATCTTTTAGATTTCATCAATAAAAAGATCAGTATCAAAATGATCATTCTCCAATTCGGCCAACATACATCCACTCTACCTGAAAGCGCGCGATCAAATGTACAATAACATGGCAGCACATATATCTCAAAATGCACGGCTGATGCCCGTAAAACGCAAGTTTTAACAAAAATCTATCAACGCACGTTTGACGCGTGCTTGGCCAAAAGCGCACGTTTGAGTATGTATGCCTATGCAGAACTCTTGATTCTTTAAAATGCACGTTTAAAAATGCCTAATGTGTACACAGCCTTAGGTCCTGGATAAAAAGGGCTTATACACATTGTACTAGTATGAAAGACAAGATAGCGGAGCTAAACTATATTCTAAGGATTGCAGAACAACAGGGATACCAAATGGAAATCATAAGGAAACTTATTACAACCTTCCAAACAACTAAACAACGGCATCCTACAGTAGACAAAGGATGGTTTTAAATTTTGTCCCATTTTTGAGACAAATACATCGTTACATCATTACTGGAAAGGGGGTGAAAGCTCGAGACTACTCAGTGGTATCGCTCGAGGGTGAAATGGGAAGGAAAGAAAGGTTTAGGAGAGGGATGAAGGTGAAATGGAAAGAGAGATAGGATAGGTGGTGAAGGTGTAGGATTATGAACACCAGCAACACATTTATTGATGAGAATAAGAGAGAACAAAGTACAAAATATACAGAATACAGGGAGTGCAATACCTGTGTAAAAAATGGTGGCACGATTGTAAAACAACAATAGATATAAAAACAATTTGACAATAAAGAGGCAATTACATAATTGGTTAAAAGTAGAAAGCATGCATGTACGCGATGAAGAATGAGAGTCCTGTTGGAGGATCTGCTTCATTAGTTGATTTGCGTGTTGTTTCTATGGTAGTCTGCCAGTTGAAGCTTTATGACAAAGGCCTTAAAGGTTGAGATTTTCTTGTTATGGAGAAGGGCCTCAAAGGGGCAGGGCCAATGGTGACCCTCTGCCATGAGCCTGTCCCTGAGAGGGGGCCTGTGGGCCCTGTGATTTGCACAAGTAAAGATTATGTGGTAAGGGTCCTCATCTTCCTCAATTCCGCAATTGCAGGTACTGCTTCCTTTTTTGAGAAAACGGTGGAGATATGTCCTGAAATTACCGTGTGCTGTCAAGAGCTGGGTGATGGCATGATTGGTGTTGAAGAAGTTAAGTATCATCCTTTTGCTGATGTTGGGCAGGAATTGGTGAGTTAGATGCCTGGTGGTACTGGCATCCCATTCCTTTTGCCAGTTATCCATAATGTCGGCGTTAAGCTTGCTTTTGATGACAGAGAGGGGGATGGCGGCGTAACTGCAGTTACTCGTGATTGTATGGGCTTTCTTGGCGAGAGCATCAGCTTTCTCATTGCCATAAATCCCAGTGTTTCCCTTTATCCAGTATAGGTTGATAAAAGCCACCTGACCAATCTCTCCTATGATCTGGAGGCAGTTGATGATGATGGGGAGCTGGCGATTGCCTTTGTTCAAATTGGTGGAGGGCTGTGCGGCTGTCACTAAAGATGTTGATGGTGGTTCATTTAAAATGCTGAATGTTGGTTTTGATGTATTTCAGACTATGCAGGATGGCTAAAGACTCAGCCTGATTGATGGTGCAGTGATTGTTGAGAGAGGCTACTGATTGCCAGTAGTGCCTCTTGCTGGGGTCGTCGAAGTAGACAGCAGCGCCAACTGTGTTGTCAGTTTTGGAGCCGTCAGTATAAAAGTTGACTCCCTTAGTAGGAAGGGATGGTTGAAGTAGATATTGCAGCTCTTAATGGCAGCTGGGTGGGTGGTGTCGGTTTCGACCATTTTGTCAATCCCATAGTCCTTAGTCTTTGACAATGGAGTGGATGGCCTCCAGGAGCTTAAGTTCATTGATTGCCCTGTTAGTCAGAGTGTTGTTGTTATCAGGAGTGTTGAGCTTTATGAGGTTTTTGATATTCCTGCTCAGGATGAGCAGGAATATCAAAAACCTCATAAAGCTCAACACTCATAAAGCTGAATAGGGGGGAGTCCTGTGATGACAAGAAGGGCATCTGTTGCTGCAGTTCGATAGGCT